ATATATTATATAGATTAGTAATATAAAAATTAATAGACAATTGAAAGATAAAATGAGCACACTTCCATTAAAATAAAGATCCTCAGTAAACACAAGTAAGTCATATTCTAGATTGACAAAAATGTAATAAGTAAATAAAATAGCTACAAAAACTAAAACTAGTGTTTCACAGAAATTATGAATATTTCTTTGGAAAGGACGAAAAATAAAAACCATTAAAGCAAGTAATAAAACTAAACAACATTGCAGTATTGAAGTTAGAAAGAATGAAGATCCAGGCCATATGAAAAAAACCAAAAACTGACAAAAAAATATAAGTATCCTCAATAATAAATAGAATCCAGCAAAAAAACGATAGTCGAAAGTATTCTCAGTTCCATTCTTATAAGGACCAGTAAACACATCACCCAGTGATATCAGTAGCTGTTTCCTCAAATGTAAGCAATCTAATAACTTATGAAACCATTTGAATCGATAAAGGAGTAAATAAAGTGTAGGCAAGAGTATCAGAAACAATAAAATTGTGATAGCAAAAATACTAGCCAATATATGATAAGTACTACCAAAATAAAGCTGTTTTGCATCATAAAAAAAATGTAAAAAATATTTGTCAGGAAACTCAAAATAATGAAAACGAAAACGTAAAATTTTGAAGGAAGTAGCAGCTAATTGAGTGAAGCAGAGTATATATATTGATGCTATAGAGTGAGTAAAAGATAGTTCAATGCCAGCCATACTCCAGAAACGAGCCATGCAACGATGAAATGGTCTAGTAACCAATACTACACACTTGTAACCTTTATCATACCATGTTATCCAAACATAGAGTAAGAGGAGGAGGAACAATGGATAGAATCCTACCACATACCAAAAGGAGATTGCTCCTAATGGTGACATGTGAGGGGTAATGCATAATGAATAGTTACCAAGAAATGGTGTAAAGTCTAAATTGAAGACATTGGAAGGTGAGGCATAGAGATCATACATTTGATAGTTAGTGTCACTGTTGCTCAATAAATTATAATCCGACTGAATCACAAAAACTATTTGAGAATAGAAAACTAATCCATTAATTGATCCATTAGTTAATTGTATATTAAATGCTATTATTATTAATACAATGAGTGTCATAGGCAGTATTTCTATTCCAATGAAAACTAGTATACTTGATAAGTAATGATGGCAGCTAACACATTGTTTAATTTTATTTATAGGAACTCCATTACCAGATAAACAACTAGCACATATACTGCTGTTAGATCTACATGTGTTATCAAGACAAGATTTATCATAATAATCAAAATAGTCATTACAACGTATTGCATAAGGGCAATACTCTTGATCTGAACTACAATCGGGATAAAGCTCACATTCCCCATTTATTGTACTAAAAAACTCCCTGCACTCACTTGTTATGTTAACAGTTACATTAGTACTGACTGTTGTTGGTCCAATAGTACTGATAGAAAGTGATATTGTATGAGGGCCAGTACCAATAATGTTATTATAACATGAAGATGATAACTCGTAATATAATTTTGGAACACTTCTTCTATCACTATAGATTAGATCACAAGTATTCGAACCATAATTTTGTTCAATATAATCCTCATCATACTTTGGCTTGATAGTTTCATTTGTGCACTTAGGATTTTTTAAAGTTGAATCATTAATGCATACTTTTAATTCATTTTTCCAGTCAAACTTTTCCCCCGTACACTGATCAATGACATTAGCTGTGAACTTGAGATAATCACAATTACAAAAACCACCATAATACCAGTAATAACATTCGCTTTGTGGGCAGCACTGTAATGATACGTTAACAAATGTAATGTTTAAAACCAGAGAGGGACAATCATCATAGTTAGATCTAACACTCCATTTAGGGACTGTGATCCTAACCTGAGGCTGTTCATTCCTCATACTAATAATACTAAGCTTACTAACATTGTTCCTTATTAGTTTTTCTTCTAGTACGGTAGACGTGTAAGTACCAGGTAAAAGGTATATTACAATACCTGAATTGTTCCGTAGAATCTGTACCCCTCCTCTTTCTACAGGAGTAGCTGCTCCTTGTATAGCTAGATCAATAGTAGCACAAGGTGTTTGAACTCCTCCAGTCCAACAAGAGGTATTGTTGATACCATCAGATGAACTGACATAGATATCAGCAGCAGCAGACAAAACAGGATAAAGAAATAGCAGGAAAATTGCAACAAACATCATCAATTAAGTAGATCTAATGGTTTCTAGCACAAACTCGCCCCCTTTAAATATACACGAGGCCCGGCACTTTTGAGAGTCATCTACGGAAATGTCCTTAGTTTTTCCGTATACTTGAGCTAAGCGTTTCTATAGCTACAGCACAACAAAGAACTGAACATGGAGGATGAGTATGATGATGATGATTTTGAGGAGGAAAGACCATCAGGAGAGAGCAGTAGAGGACAATCACTTCACCACATAACCCCAATACATCACAGAACCGTTAGAAAAACAAAAAGTAAGACCACAGCACAAGGACAAGCCTAAACTCTCTATTTCATTAGAAATAACTCCACCTGGAAAGCAGCAGCAGAAAAAGAAAGTTTCAAAATTGAAAACAGATCTGTCTCCTCAGAGTAGACTCCTCTCATCAAAAGACCATGAGATTAGGAAACTAAGAAATCAGTTACTGGATGCACAGCGTTCACTGAAAGAAACCAGAAAAGAAAATACAATAATGAGGAGAACACAAGTGAGATAATGTTGAATTGACTTAGTTTACAATAGTGCTTGCATTTGGTGACTACATGATATTAAATTTACACAAAATGCTGTAAAATTAAAAACCACGTTGTCCATTGTTCATACATATACATGTAGATATGTACACATAACTCTATGTCTTTTAGGTGAGGATGGAGAAGGAGTTGATGTCACGCTCAAGACAAGAAGAGGATATACCAAACATATTGCAGAAGCACTCTGATGAAGTGAGGGCATTAAGAACACAATTACAAAGGACACAAATTAACAATAACGAGTTAAAGAAACGTGTCAAAGATATTGGGTAAGAGAGAAGGAGAGAGGAAGGAACTTTATGTATATTTGTCATCAATGCAGAACTGAAATGTGGAAGTCACAAGAGCGAGTAAAGAAGCTTGATGCCATGGTTAAGAAGCGTAATTTACCAGAAAGAGAACAGCTTGTGTTCCAGTTACAAGAGCTTCAGGAACAACTTAAAATTGAAGAAGATAAAACAATTGTTAGTTAATATTTAGATGTACACGTAAATGCATAATAATGTAAAATGATGTAGTAGCTAATTACTGTTCAATTGTGGTCCTTTTTATTCTTATTTTCTCTTATAGAAATTGGATCACTCATTACAGTTGGCACAGAAGACATACTCACAAGAGATAAAGAATCTCCTTGGAAAGAATCACCGACTCACAGCACATATGGAAGAAATGAGAGAAGAAAACAGAGAAACAAGAAGAAAGCTAAGAGTAAGAAAATAACCATTCATGTATACATGTACATGTACGTGCAAAGGAATTTTAATACAGTGTCTATTAGTGTAATAATTATAGTGTTAAATAGGTATACCATGTAGAGTAATAGGTATAAAAATGATATAATGTACTGTATGTGGTAAAATGTATTTTAAATATATTATTTTACTAGGAGAAGGAGAGATTGCTTGAAGTGACTAACATATACTCACAGCGAGTACCAGGACAATCACAGAATAACTCACTGTCACTCCCTCCTATACCAGTCACTGATGAAATGAGCACACAAACAACACTCACTCACCCTCCATTCACCACAGCAGTCCTACACACTAAACCAGTTCTAACCACTTCAGAGTGTCAGACCGATTCATCATGGCTCAACGACTTACTATCCTTGTCCAAAACTTCGCCAAATAAAGAACCGGTTGCCACGGAAACTAAAAGAGGCATTGCCATGGCAACAATAGATGCTCAAGGTGGCGATAGCTTGAGAAAGTTTGTTGTAGCCACACCTCCTCTAGCAGCAGCAAGTTTACAAGCAACTCCTCCAGCAGTAGCTGGTTCACAAGCTACTGCTGTACCTCCTAAGCCACTTGCAACACTTGCAGAGCTGTCAAAAAATGTTTCGCCTGCTTCCAATAAAAACGAAACTGTTTCACAATACAAAGTTGATCATAGTCAGCAAAAACCAGTCAAACCAGTTGATCAAGTGTCTCAATCTGACGAAGTCAGGAAACTGCTGTTTGGAAGCAATGCATCATCCACTGATCAGGCTAGAAGAGATGAAGCTCCTCCAACTTCTGTTTTTGGTGGTCAGAAGAAAGACGATTTGTTGCAAAAGCTGTTCCCTAATCAAACAATAGCCTCTAGGGCAGGGTTACCTAATAAGTCTAACATTCCTACAGATAATCAGACTACTGCACCTACCACTAGTAATAGGCATAATGAGAGTACTGCTGGTATTGGTAGTTTAAACAACGAACCAATAGCAACAAACAATACGACTGGTTTACAATCTGAAGCCATACCAAACTTAAGCTTACTGGAAACTCGTAACACAACAACTACAAATACTGGTATAACCAGTTTGACTGGTATAAATACGTCGTCAAACAGTAAGCAAACTGGATCAGTTTTCAATACTGGTCAGACTGAACTAACAAGCAGACAACAGGAGTCTTCCAATACCGGTGTTACTAGTTTACTAAACAAGTCAATGCCTCCACCGCCTAGCCTTCAACAAACAGTGGCAACAATTGATGACCTCTCAACAGATAATGATGAAACATCAAGTGATGATGATGATGAGAATATTGTTACTACTAAGATCACTGCTAGAGGACATCCCCACACTTATCCTCCTCCTACTACTACCACTACTGACACGAGCAACCTATTCAGTAATCAGACTCCTTCAGTTAAAACCACGCCAGGAGCTGCAAAGAATGAAGAATTGATGAAGAAATTATTTCCAAAGCAATCAAGGACATCGGTTGAATCTGTTACTAAAATAACAAGCAGTACCTCCTCTAATGTTAGCTGGAACGATAAAATTGAGAACATGCACCAGGGACTACCATCAATGGCTAGCGAAGAGGATCGCTTCAACCACAGACGAAGCAATCCAAAGATTAGTAGCAACCATAGCAATGGGAGCAATGCAGGGACTGGAGATATAATCGACGTAGGGAAGAGAAAACCAAAACATGGACGCAGGGCAGGAGAAACTGACACGCCCATATTTGGAAGAGGGGCTGAGAGAGAGGACGTTCCTCCAAGAGGGACAAGCAATGTTTTTGGAGGAGGAGGAGCTGGTAATGGATACCCGTGGGAAATACCAGTTAATACAAGAGGAGCAGAACAAGGTAGAAGAGTGACTGGACACTCTACTAATGATACTGAGGACATAGAAGAAGTAGTAATATAAAAATATATCATAATGGATTATTTTATGAATGAATATTTATACAAAAATGTATGGATGGTTAATGCTCATTGTTATTATACATGTACATGTAATAATTAATAATAATTATAATAGTCCTATCATACATTGCTTTTTGTTAACAAGTTCATTCAGAGTCTTCATATAAAAGATTGAAAAGTCATTCCATACCTATAAACAAGGAAACACTAATATTGTACATCATGTAATATCATCATCACAGGATTTCCCACAAGGATTTTGGCATAGTAGTGCTCATGTGCACGGATTGTCAAGTTGCTTTAAAAAATCAGGCCAAAGTCCCTGTACTATAGTACAGGGTCGTTGGCCAAATTTCGCCAAAAATGACTAGGAGAGAATTCTTCATTTTTATAATTTTTTATGATACATATACATGTTCTTATGTTGTTTATCAAGTTTGAGCTGATTCCGATCAAAATTGGATTTTTTATGAATTTTTAAAGCTGCTCAAAAATCAGGCCATAGTCCCTTTACTATAGTACAGGGTCGTTGGTCAAATTTCGCCAAAAATGACTAGGAGAGAAATCTTCATTTTTATAATTTTTTCTGATACACATACATGTTCTTATGTTGTTTATCAAGTTTGAGCTGATTCTGATCAAAATTAGATTTTTAATGAATTTTTGAAGTTGTTCCAAAATCCAAATGCCCTGTACTGTATTGTAGTCCTAATCTCCAGCCCATAAAGCATGCTTGCTTTGTGGGTGGGAAACCCTTATTACCAGCATAACATGTTTTACATATAAAGGGATAAATTAATAAGTTCTTACCTCTGGGATATCATAAAACTGCTTTAGTTTCTTATCCCTCCAGAACCAGTCCACAATCAAGAGCCTAGTGTTGTCCATACTTAGTTTATCGTCCATGACAAGTCTATGAAACCTGTTTGGTGTACCTACGGCAATGTGTGTCACATGACTGGATAAATATGCAGCCTGATCTTCAATCTGATGTTAATAATAATACTAATAATAATTGATACAATAATGCAAGCTAATTCACTTTTGAGTGTTTAGCACACAGCTTGATGACACTGATGTCTTTATGTGATAATAATAGTTGCCTGAGAGAGAGAGAGAGAGAGAGAGAGAGAGAGAGAGAAGAGAGAGAGAGAGAGAGAGAGAGAGAGAGAGAGAGAGAGAGAGAGAGAGAGAAAGAGAGAGAGAGAGAGAGAGAAATGGACCAAATGAAACTAAACTAGGATAATTAGTTGTTACCTTTTTAAATGAGATGCTCTCTCTGCTGAGCTAGTCAGTACAATAACATAAGGTGAACCGTTACTCACCTCACCTTCTTTACACCAACTAATTAACATTGGACATACTAATAAAAATTTAAAAAATAATTATAATGGAATGATTATGGTAACCTACCATTACTTAAGTAAGGACCTAATTCAAGTGATACTCTTTCCTCTCCCTCTCTCTTCTCCTCCTCTTCCTCAATTTTGTAAGAAACAAAATTTTTTTCTACAATAAAAATTTACTAATAAAATGAGTGCTGTGGGTGTGGTTATAATTACTCTTTAGCGAGAGTGGTTTCTCATTCAGTGTCTTTAGTTGAGATTGTAATTTAGTAGATAATTCGTTTAATTGTCTGTTAGTAGTATGGAGGTCATTAATGCTCTCAGGCTATTAAAAGTACAAATTAAAATAAGTAACGATAGTCATTATTAAGTTTACTTTTAATAACTTAATCATTTCACTGATTTTTCTTCTTTTTTTCTTACTAGTCACACCCTCTTCCTTTTTCCTTTTCCCTCCTCTCCCTCTGGCCTCTCTCTCCTCTGGTTCCAGCCACCAGTCTTCCTCATCAAGAGCATCAACTGACTCCATTGACATGAGACAAGAAAGGGTTAATTTTATAACCACGCCTATAAACAAACCACGCCTGTTTAGCTAATTAATATTCATTGACCACGTGTAACCTCACACTGCGTCTTGTTTTGAAGCTCTCCTATGGATTTACTCTCAGATCTGCTCGAGTCCTACCACAAGATAATCTCAGATAAGCTTAGTGAAAGAAGGGTGAGCCTATTCACTGGATTAATGTGGAATTATTCTTTATTTAATACTAGACAGGAGCTGAAACTTTAAGAAAGTTGCTACAGGCTGATAACTCCAGGGACCTAATCCAAGATAGGAGCACTTCCTCTTCTTCTCGTGGAAGGCGACCCTCTAGTTGTGGTAATGTTCCGTCATGGGATGACCTATTTATAGCTGTTAAGGTTAGCTTGTAAACATATAAATTAACCCTCACACCCACACATTTGATTAATGTGTAATGGAAGTACACAGTATCTTTATTGCTGCATATCTTATGCATACTCTATTAGGAGTGCCTCTTGAAGGAGATAGAGAATATTACAAATTTGGAGCAGTTGCGTCCTAATCCATCCAGTTCAGCTCAAACAGGAAGAAAGAAGCAAATTCAGGTAATTAATTCATTATACAGACCAATATTTTATTGTGTTCTAGGATAATTTTGAAACATTACGTGTTCTACTTAAAGCAGCCAATTCAAGTAATGAATAATAAATTGTTTGTTCCTTATTTTGCTTTTTCTTTTTCCTTACTACTTATCTCCTTTCACCCTCTCTTTCTCTCATTTCTCTTTCCCTTTTTCTCATTTGCTACCTACCTCATCCTTTTTCAGAGGGTGGTGTATTAAAAGTGTCTGAGGTTATGTCTCACATAATGCAAGTACTAAAGGTCCCGGTACTTCAGCGCTGGCTAGCCATGGACTACACTCAAATATTAGTTAGTCATATTCTCCCTTATCCTCATTTTACAATGGAACTAACTCATTCTAACTGGAAAGGTATTTTAACATCTCTCTCTCTTTTTTCTAACTTTAATGTGCCTCTTTTCTTATTTCTTAATTAGATCTTCAGCATATATTTATTGATTTTTATAATTCTCCGCCAGAGGCTTTGGATCAGACCCTCATAGCTCGTTGCTTGCACGCTATATTGCTGCAGTGCTCTCGGATGTATGATGTAATCATTCCTGACTGGTACAGGTTCTTCACTGCTTCCATTAAACAAGCAATGTATGATTATGTGCACTGATAGTCTCTTTGTTAGACATAAAGTACCGGGTATAAATTTAGTGCAAATTAGTGCAATGGAAATTAGATTCCGAGCTTATTCTGATCCAAACTGGATTTTTAATGAATTTTAAAGTTCCTAAAAACCATAGGTACATGGCATTTCGTCAAAAATGGTTAGGAGAGAATTCTCCATTTTTATAATTTATTCTGATGCATACTCATGTTTTTATGATGTGTAGCAAGTTTGAGCTGATTCCGATCAAAATTGGATTTTTTATGGATTTTTAAAGTTACTCCAAAATCGGGCCAAAATCCCTGTACTATAGTACAGTGTCATTGGTCAAATTTTGCCAAAAATGACTAGGAGAGAATTCTCTATTTTTATATTTTTTTTTCTGATGCATTTACATGTTCTTATGTTGTGTAGCAAGTTTGAGCTGATTCTGATCAAAATTAGATTTTTTTTACAAATTTTTAAAGTTGTTCAAAATTAGACCAGCTAGTCTATTATAGCAAATGGGTGGGCTAGGAGAGAATTCTTCTTGTTCCATGTTGTTATGTTCTATTTCAGCATAATTTTATTTATTTTTAATTTCCTCATTTTCTAGTACCAAGCATAACTCTGAGCACTTGCTTTCGGCTTGTAACGTTTTCTTTTTGACTGTTGCTTCAAATGCACGGGGCAGGCTCTGCAGAATTGGAGAGGATTTAGTTCAACCTGTTATTCAGGTCTGGGACAGGAGCTCGCCATTACTCAAAGTAGGAAATACAAATAACTGTGAAGTATATATACATGTACATGTACGTATATTTTTCCTTTTTAAGGATCAGATACTAACTTTCCTTCACATTCAAGTAAGGTTGCATCATCCTTGTGGAGCTGTCTCTGAGGCTGATGGTGCCTGGGCATCAAATGACGCCCACTGGAGGAATTGCATTGAGAAAATGAACTCCTTCATCATCAAAGAATTGGATTTAGCTTCAAAGAGATCGAGATCAACAAGGTATTTGTAACTATAGTCTATGATAAATTTGCTCCTTATTTTTTGCTTCCTTCCTTTAGTAAAGGTGAAGCCACAGTGTCTCCATCTTTCATTAATTTCACTGTGGATGTCATGCAGCAGGTGAGTGAGTGGTTTTTATGTCATCAGGATGTCATTTCTCTGATAGGCTTATTCTCACACTGATACTTCATTTACTGACACATCACTGCCACCTAAAGGTATGTACATTTATTTAATAATAAGTTTATTATTTTTATAGTGAAAAGGTCAAGGGTTGATAGTGGTTGGTCGATATTAAAGGACTCATTGTCATCAAGTTCCTCAGTCCTTATTTGGTACAGTGTAATTATCACCAGTATAATTATGATTTTTAATCTCTCACTTTTTCTTTAGGTTGCAATTGATTGGTCATCTGTTTGCTAAAGAGTCAGTCAAGTTTCCTACTACTGAAATAATTCCTTTAATATCAGAATTGTACAATATACTCATTCAACTTAAAAAGTAACCAACAATGTAGTACATATATGATATCACAAAGTACATGTATAGACCTGATGCACGAGTGTTCACTGTATTGCACTGGGTCTTTATAGCATTGAAAAGTATTGCTAGTTATACCAGTAACAATGGAATAGTATATAATAACTGGAAGGACATATGGACAGGAACAATAAAGTAGATACTATAAATGATACATGTGTTGTTTATTAATACTGTCTAGGGCACTTCAGTATAGGATTGCTGAAGACACTGGATATGAACTGCTAAGCACTTTATTAGTGGTGAGTGTTAGCACTGTTTATCATTATGATTTATTGATTTATGTATAAACACACGTGTAGTTAAAATTTATTAAGACAGTAGAAGTGGATGCTTGGAAAATCATTTGTTTGACCACACCATCAAAGTAATATCATAAAATATTATTTTATTATTATTTTGTTGTTATTCTTTAGATCGGTTATTTCTTTCATTCGTTCACTGCTTGCTCATCACAAGATACCAGAGTCACTTACAATTTCATTACCACACACCATCAATGAGGACTCACCACTCCCCCTTCTCTCCTTGTCATCATCCTCCTCTTCCTACCAGTACAGGATTACACTATTGAACCACATTTGTTCTATACTGGATATTAAGAAACCACTCAATGGAAGCAGGTATGTACATATGCATGTGCAAAATGGAGAGAAGTTCCTATTATTATTATTATTATTGTTATTGTTATTGTTATTATTATTATTGTTATTATTATTATTATTATTATTGTTATTATTATTATTATTATTATTATTATTATTACTATTATTATTAGGTCATCAGTATTACTCCCAGTGTATGAGTTAAGCACTGTCTTGGTATCATTAATGCAACAGTCATGCTCACTCTCTTTAACACTATCATCAACTAGTAACAGGTATAGGGCAAATATAAGGGATATACTGTACATTTGGCAGTGCCTAATATTGGCGATTCCATGATTGCTGGTGTTTATTGGCGATTTTATAGCAAGTGTCATGCTCAGAATGTACATATACATCAAAGTGGCGGATTTTATTTTGCCAATTTGATCGTCAATCTGCCAACTGCCAAAGTAAAATTCTGGCAATTTTTTCCACTACATGGTATATTAGCAATTGGAGTGTACTGGTAATAGCACGTTTGCATGATATGCTGTATAGTCTATCCTGTTATCTCTAGAGTGTCCTTCCTTATCTGTACATGTATGTGGATGGGGACTGTAAAGAATACTACTCTGTGTATACTTTAATTTTATATTAGGTTACTGGGCATTTTGTGTTTATGTTTATCCTCTACCTAATATGACCGCTCCGTGATTAGTGTTGTGTAATTCGCTCAAGTTAGAATCATGCACTCATTCTTTATTGTTGTGTAATACCTTGCAACTTGCTAAGTTTATAATCCAGTGCATGCTATTTAAAGATCAGTCCTATTACTGGTCAGAGTCAATACAGGAGTATGTCTCTCCTGTTAGTGGTTGTTCTCTTATTCTTCAGTAGCTCCTGCAGTGTCTCCTCTGGTCAGTATTATGTGTCTGATGACTGCAGTTCAGTTACTCAGTCACCTTGTAATCCTTTATCAGTGTATGCTCGGAATATTTCTCAATACGGTAATAGCACCTTCTACTTCATTGGAGCTAGTGTCATTAATTCCAGTTTCAACATGTTGTTGGTAGAGAACATTACTCTACAAGGAATGAAGCAGTCGATGATTTACTGTGTTTGGTGTTGTTTCTTCATCAAATATAGTTATAATGTCACTTTCTCTGGGCTTTATTTGAAAAATTGTACATTTCATTTTTATCATTCATTGAATGTTACGTTCTTACATACCAAGGTGATGGGCCATGTCAATTTTATTGCTATACAAACATTCAATTTCAAAGTGTCAACGGCAGTTTTTAATGTAATCTATCTTAATTTTAATTACGACCCAATCTGTGATACCGAGCTATATAGTTACACAGTGAACTTGGCTAATGTTACTATATTTGGTGAGTTAGGATTTTATCTAAGTCAAGGAGCATCATATCATTTGTCAATCATCCTTGATCACATTGAGGTTTACAACAAACCTAGTCCTTGTCTTTGCATAAATTTGCAAAATTCTCTTTATTCTTTAATTATGACTAACTCTTTCCTGTATGGTGGATTTTCTCTTCGGTCTCTTCCCTTACCTGAGTCAAGTTGTCCTTTTCCAACTGGTCAACTCTCGTGCACCATTTTTATAGAGAACAGTCATTTATATGGTAATAGTGAAGCATTTCTCATCTCAGGGAGTTTAATGTACAAGCACCCAGTCCTTATTTTTATCAAATCATGTTCGATTCAAGATAGTGCTAGTTATGGTTTATATATTGATTGTACTTTGTTCTCATCAATGACCATTAACATTACTGACACTCTACTGACTGGTAATAGAGCTAATTCAATAGTAAGCTGCCATTCAGTTTCTTTCAGTAATGTCACTATTGCTAATAGTCAAGACACAGGATTAACACTGATACAGTCAACAGTAATGGTGAACAATAGCTTATCATTTAGAAACAATACTGGAGACTTTGGAGGTGGGCTCTCACTATCTCAATTATCATATTTCATGGTACTTCCACAAGCTTCTTTTGAGTTTGTCAATAACTCTGCTTCTTATAAAGGAGGAGGATTCTTCTGCTCTGTTTCATCAGCCCATCCGTTTGTTTATGCTGAATTAAGTGATCTAACCTTTGCTATTCCTCTTACTCTCTGGAACAACACTGCAGGTAAAGCTGGTGCTGATATCTATGGCTTTGTTCTATCTGGTTTTAAATTTTATGGCTTGTTCGTATCGTTCTCTTTGATAAATCCAAGGGTCAGTTCATCAACCAATGCAATCAGAATAAGTTTTTGTGATTTCAATGATGCACAGGGTATCACACTTTCCAATAGTGTACCCGAACAGCATATTTTTCCTGGACAAAAATTAAAATTTAAGGTAGCTCTTTTTGGCTTTGATGGTAATGAGACAACATTCAGTTTGACTGATGGTGTTGTTGATGTTTTTATTGATACCATCAAAGTCTTTAATTATTCTTTTGCTGAAGCTAATTGTTCAATCATTGAATATACACCAACTGAGCTCATCTATTCAAGGCATGAAGTTGTACTGTCAATATTTTTAGCTGACTCTCTTATATTAAGCTTATATTCTGTTATAAATGAAATTGTGAGTCATTATATTATTCACGAATGTCCTGCTGGTTTCAGTATAAACAGCTCACAAGGTATATGTACTTGCAGTCAAAGTGTTTCAAGAGAGAACGTGACATGTGATATAGTTAGTCTAAACATTACACACAATGGTCTACTGTGGATTGGAACATATGATACCAGTACACCTTTCAATGCTAACGCAACCAATCCTAATGCATGCATTATCAATGAGGACTGTCTCCTCTATTGTTCTCCTAGTCCTGTTGCCTTCATGCTGAATGACACTGATACTCAATGTGTGGATAATAGAGGACAGAGAATGTGTGGATCATGTAGAGATGGATACAGTCTACTAATGGGATCAAACAAGTGTGGACAGTGTAATGATGATTACATGATGATAGCTTGGATTGCTCTGTTTGCAGTGATGGGTGTACTACTTGTGGTTCTACTGATTGCTCTCAATTTAACAGTATCAGTGGGTACACTCAATGGTCTATTGTTCTATGCTAACATTGTCAAGTTATACGAGCCAGTCTTTTCAAGGAAAGGAGCATTACCAGTCTTGAGTCAAGTCATATCATGGATTAACTTAGACTTTGGATTTGAGATATGTTTTTACAATGGTATTAACAGTTATGCTAAACAATGGCTCCAGTTTGCTTTCCCTCTCTACCTGTGGGTTGT